TTGTATTTAGACCTTCATTACTTGTACCTACCGAATCTAAATAGAATGCAAGGTCGAACTTAAAAGAGTTAATTTTTGTATTATTTAATGAAGCAAGAAGATAACATATGAACACCATTAATCTCTTCATACGGTCCATTGTTTGTTCATTACGTTCAAATGGCCGAGCTGCTAAATAGAGTTGGTCAAAAAACCCCCTCAAGCTTGGTTCTATTTCTTGGAGCAATCTTCGCATTTCATCAAATTCGTATATAGGACCTTCTTTATTATTATATTCTCTATTCTCTTTCATAAAAGATTTTAGCAATCATCTTGATGGCTCTAGTGAAATCAATCTTTTCACTTACCTCTTCCTGTAGTTTTTACTTGCCTAGATCCCCTTTTTAAAGGATTTTCTACGAAATTCATGTAACAAATGTTACATAAAACAACACCTTCTGTCCATGTTACCTTCGCTAAGTTGTTGTTCTCAGCTTCTTTCCATTTATTGCCTTTCAGTTGACGAAATTTAGCTGATTTAATGGTTTTACATTTTGTGCAACGTTTAATTTCAGACATTTTTTCTTCGAGTAAATCGTATTATGAAAGTTGTGGGATTCAAAGGGATTCAAAAGATATGATAACAACAAAGTGTAAAGCTTCAAATTTGTGTAATTATTTGCACATGATTTATTGTAAGAATGGGCTACGTAATACCCTTGTAAAAGTATTCTAAAGTGTATAAAAAAAATTGAAATCAATTGTGAAAATCTATTCCTTATATAGGACGTTCTCTCCTGTTGCTTTTTTAACATTAGGTGAACATGTTATTTGGTGTGTTATTTCACACATCTATTTGTTAAGTTTGCCAGGGTAATGGTCATTTAGCATGTTTATTTTATTTATTTACTTATTGATTTTTTAGAGAATTTTCAAAAAAAAAAAAAAGAATTCAATTAATTGAAGGGCCTTTTTAATGTTAGGCGAACATGTTATTTGGTATGTTATTTCACACATCCATTGGTTAAGTTTGCCAGGGTAATGGTCATTTAGCATGTTTATTTTTACTTATTTACTCATTGATTTTAAAAATTTTTTTTTTCAAAAAAATTAAAAAAAAGAATTCAATTAATTGAAGAACCTTTTTAACATTTGATGAACATGGTATTTGGTATGTTATTTCACACATTCATTGATTAAATTTGCCAGGATAATGGTCATTTAGCATATTTCTTGTTGATATTTTTTTTTAAAAAAAAAATTCCAACTAATTAAAGAACTTTTTTAATGTTAGGTGAATTTCTAAAAAAATTTTTACAATTTCTTTTCATTCATTTTAATGCAAATAAATAAATAATATTTTTATACATTATTTTTCAGCTGCTTGCTTTTTATGATATTGATTAAACCTGGATATCCATGACTTAATTTGTTG